AAGCATGTCCGAAGACGTGTCCCAAACCTTTCGGTGTTGTGTCTGCGCACTGTCTAATATACATATGCAGGATTTAGCTAGGGGGTTTTATATTGTATATATAAAGCGCTAGCTAAATATACCCTAAAGGTGTCGGGCTCATATATATATAGGGGTGTTCATATTATGGAACCTACTATGGGGTCGCTTTTTGGCTAGTGTATTTTAATACCTAACTCACAAATTCGGGTTTGCTTGCTTTCCGGGGATGGCGGTTAGAACTAGGGGCTATTCTAACTACTAACTATTTGGGTGGGGTTTCAGGATCATCTTCAACCTTAGAGCTTTGTTGCGTTATTCGTTTTGGGTTTCGGGGTTGAGATATTGCGTGTGCAGTTTGCGGATTGCGGCTCAAGGTCTGTACTGGGCTTTGGCGTTTAGGTTCACTGTAAGGCGCTCAGGGATGCTCTGCACTAGTAATGTAAGGGCCTTACTAATCACCTTGGGGGCTCCGGGTTTAGGGTTTGGCTCTGCAACAACTCCCAAAACTGCAAGAGCTTCAGCTTAGCGGTCGGGATTGTGGGTGCGTCCATATCGGTGCTACTCCAAATAGTCTCAACCCCAAATATCAGAAAAGTCCAGAATGACAAAATACCAGGATCCCCGGCTGACTTGAGTTCGGGAAGGTGGGGACACCGACCTCGCAGAAGAGATGCAGGGGTCAATAACAAGGTTATGTTCTAGCTGGGATGTTTAGAGTTTGGATTTGACTAGGATATAGGTGTGCTTTTGGCACTTGGTGCTCTTCAAACCACTATGCTGTCTCGCAAAGTGCAGGAAGTTTTGTAAGGTTTCCTCCAGGTTCCTTTAAGGATTGCGCTACGGGTTCCTCTCTAGAGCCACCACAAGGGTTCCTGGAAGCGTTCCCGTGACCGTTCCTATCAAGGTTCCTGAGGGCGTATAACGTCTTGGCCTCGACCAGGTCTACCACACGAGCATGACCACCACGACCACCAAGACGACCAGGACTAACAGGACGGTGGGGACGACCGCAGGGAGGTGGCTTGTGGTGCGGACCCCCGTGCGATCATCCTTGTGGTGATAGCTCGTAACTGAAAGACTACTGCGGTGTCCAACATCTACAAGTCATACCAACTCTAGGTAACTTTAGACTTCGAGTATATGGGGTTTGAAAACAGCTGTGCGTTCGAACTCGCCGGAAGTCCCCATCTCGAGCTTTCCTTCAGCGTTTCGGATTTTTTCAACTGAGCTCCAGAAGGTTGGAACATGAGATACCTATAGTCTCAAATTGTAGTTCCTTTTGGGTGATATCTTATAAAATCCTTAATATGTAATTGGTTAAACAAAAAAAGGAACCACAATGAAGACTATAGGCAGGTGCCAGGGACACTCGGGGCATCCAGCCCTCGCACGCAAGGGCGACAAACATCGTTGACTGCAGTCTCTATGCTACAATGCTATACTCAAAAAAAACCAAAACCCTACAAAACACAGGGATGTAACCTCATACTTATTGGGTATAGGCGTGACAGCAGTAGGGTTTTGGACCCACTGCCAGAGCTCCACTCCGAGCTCTACCGAGATCTCGGGGACAGCTGGCATCTAGGGCTTTGGCTTTGGGTTTCAGCGGTTTAGGTAGTCTATGCTAGGGCTACTGTTAAAGCCTTCTTCATGCATCTATGTTATAAGTTTAAATATTGCTCAACTGTTACTGAGTGGAGGCAATATCCAAGGCTTTGGGATTTACAGGTCTCAGTCTTCGACGCTCGACGCGACACAGCAGTTTCTGTTCCGGGAAGGTGGTCCAAAAAAAACTCAATTAAGATCTAGAGTCTCCAATCTGCTATCGACTTACGGAGCAACCCTAAACCCTAAACCCTTAATCCGTTACGGCTCAATGGCCTAGGTCTAAGCCTCTAGACCCCCGAAACCTGCAACTCGAAGCCCTAAACCCGAAACCCTACAGGCCCTAAAACCTAAATCCGAAAAACCCTACAGGCCCTAAGCCCAAAACCCGAAACCCTACAAGCCCTAAGCCCGAAACCCTATAAGCCCTAAGCCCTAAACCCCAAACCCTACAGGCCCTAAGCCCTAAACCCGAAACCCTACAGGCCCTAAGCCCTAAACCCGAAACCCTACAGGCCCTAAGCCCTAAACCCCAAGCCCTACAGGCCCTAAGCCCTAAACCCGAAACCCTACAGGCCCTAAGCCCGAAAGATCCAAGGCCTCTCGAAGGGCATGGTGCCTCTGGCTTGCCTGTCGCCGCAAAGCAAGCGCTTGGGTTCTTCTTCGCATCCCTAAACCCTCAACCCTAGACCCTAAACCCTATAAACCCTAAACCAGCACGGAACTCGGGTGCTCAAGGGCCTTGATGGTTGAAGGACTGTTAGCCCTGGAGTTTCAGAGAACCGGCGGCCCTAATGACTGTCAACCCCAATAGCGGGATTTTGAATCCACAAATTGCGAACCTCAACATACCTTGCCGCAACCGAAAACCCTGAATCCCAGACCTCAAAATCCCTCTAACACCCCATCACGTACATGGTCTTCTAGCGTCGTTATTGCGCTTTAGTTGAAGCCCGACAGAGCCCTCTGCTACCTGCGGATCCAAATCCCCATGCGTGTCACGGGTAATTCCTTGCAAAGGCTACATTACCCAAGGGCTCCTATGTAGTTCCTTTTTGGATAATATACTCTAATTCCTTACCAGAAAACCATAACAGCCCCCAAAAGGAACTACATTGGAGCCCCTGGGTAGCTGAAATTGTGTAGGATTTCTGCCTTCAGGTCGAAACCTTAAACCCTATAAATCCTAAAACCCTAAACCCTAAACCTCTAAACCCCAAACCCTAAACCCTAAAACCCTAAACCCTAAATCCTAAAGCCCTAAACCCTAAACCCTAAACTGTTTCTGCCCTTCATCAGCTCGACCTCCGGGCGCTGGCGAGACCGGTGGCTCGTTCTTCCGTGCGGCCTCACAGGATCAGGGAACTTAGTAAATTTCGGGGGCGTTTAGGGTTTAGGGCTTTAGGGTTTAGGGTTTAGGGGTTTAGGGTTTAGGGGTTTAGGGTTTAGGGTTTAGGGTTTAGGGTTATCTACGCAGTGGTGAGCCCCTTTGCTAGTTGATTTCCAGGGGGTCGTAGTGGTTCTTTGAGGGCGCAAATTTCGGGCTTTTGATGATATGCTCCTCATCCCAAAAGGGCTAAGTATGAAGTTGTACAGTGGTTTCTGGCATTACAGGGGTTGCCGCAATTACAACTACTACAAGCACTTGCTTTGTAGACGAGAAGGAGGCTGACGCTGGTGATGATACACATGACGACGATGAGGACGAAGACGGTGCCAACAGCGACGATGGCGAGTTCGGGCTAAGGTCGAGACTACAGCATCATGAAAAGCGTTCGAGGGTGTTGTAGTCGAAATCCCTCCGTCGTCCGCAGGGAGGGAGGGTCTTTGGTGCTCGTTTTTTTGGGCATGTGACATGCACCGATATTCATCTATGAGCCCCCATAATCGATGTTGAGGTCTTGTTCTTGGCCATGTATAAGCCCTTGAGAAGCGGTTCTTAGTGTATCTTAGTCTAACAAAAGTTAAGCGGCACACCCCTAGTCTCAAGGAGCCATCCTTATTCCCCTTCTGGGACGCCCCAAACCCCCCAAAAAACCAAACCCAAGCCCTTGCAAATCGAAGCCCTTGACGCAACCCTAACCCTAAACGCTGGCTCAGCCTCGTACCCGTACTTTAGTTAGGAAGCCCGACTATTGTATAGGGTTCGGGGTTGCCGGGTGTAAGGGATTAGAAACTTAAGACTCACCACAGCGAGGACCTCTTGGGCTGCTCTGCTCCAACATTTTCCGTCGGTGCGCCTGTGAGTCGCGGATTCGGGCGTCTAGGCTTGTACAGAGATTTGTAGGATTTCCCTTAAATTGCTTTCCCTAACCCCCCAGGTACCTACTATATAGGGTACTAGAGCCCCTAGGGCCCTATATAGTAGGTACTTGGGGGGCTAGGGTTTATGAGGCTGTCAAACAAACACGGAGGGCAAACCCAGAAAGCGCCAAATCGACCAGGCAGCTTTCTAGCTTTCGGAGCTCGAGACACGTTTAGGGTTTAGGGTTTAGGGTTTAAACCCCAGGCTTGGCGCCGCTTAGTCGGGATTTTCGGCTGCAGCTGCCAGAGAGCTCCAAGGTATGGTGCGCATAGGGGTGTTTGGACACAGATTTTACAGGGATAAACCCAGAACCGCGAATCCCTAAATGGCTCTAAACCCCCTATACTCTAAATCCATGGGCTCGCGGGTTGGGGAGCTTTGTGTTTCTGCGGCCTCTAGATTGAAGGACATTCAACCTATGCAGCTACACGTGCCTAAACAAATCAAGTTCTTATTGATGTATAAGCATCGGCTAAAGCACTCAGCACATAGCTTACACAAGCAGGAACTCGAAGAGGTCTACCAGGGGATTTCGTCAAGCTTAAGACTCTCAGGGACTTACTCACCCCTCGATTTTTTTCGAGCCACCGAGCTCCCCCGATCCTGTATAACCTAGGAGCCTAAATAACTGCAATGGGGATCTTGCGGCTTACAATAAGGAGCTCTAAGGAATGCTAATTCTATTGGCACTATGACCCTAAACCCTAAGCCCTAAGGAATACTAATCACCAGTCTTATTGGTAGTAAACCCGAAGGAAGACTACCATTATTGGTACGATAACTAACCCTAAACACAACGCTGAACCTTAAAGAATCCGCTTCTTAGTGGTAACTATCTCGGATTCTATATGGAAGAGACAGCCCACCCAAAGAGCTGCAGCCGCTGCAACCCCAAGCAGCTCCCTTTTATTTTGGACCCCATGAACCCCCACAGCGCTAAACCCTACCAAATTCAAAAGCCGCAAACCCTGAACACCCAAATTTAAAGCACTAAGCCCGTGGAGCTCTAAACCCCAAAACCTGAAAACACTACATTCAACATAATCTCTCTACACCCTAACACTAACACTCTCAAACCCGCACAATGCTAAAGTACTAAACATCCCTGAAGCTCTGAAACCTCAACGCATGAGCCGAAAAAACCTAAGCCCACATGACCCGTGGAAACCCTGATAAACCCAGGTAAAGGATGGTTTTGGTTTTCCTTTAAAGGTACATCGGGGTTGCTGTAAGGAATTTTTCAGGGGTTGCTTTGACTGATTCTTTCGGGGTTCCTCTAGGGGCCCCATGAAAACAAGACAACGAAAGACGCCCATCCCTGAATAAACAGCCAGACGACAAGGCCTTCCCCCCACAGGTACCTCCGAGACCAGTAGAACCCCTTACAAAGGCTCTTATTGTCGTAAGCCTTAGTTTTAAAAGACCGTAAAAGCCTTAAATCCTGAACAACCCCAACCCCCAAACCCTAAAGGCGCTCATCCCTAAACCGTAAAGGCGCTAACCCCTAAACCCTAAAGGCGCTCATCCCTAAACCGTAAAGGCGCTAACCCCTAAACCCCAAGGGCGCTAACCCCTAAACCCTAAAGGCGCGAATCCCTGAACCCTAAACCCCCTGAAAAACCCAAATCCAATGGCTACCCAAGGGCTCCGATGTAGTTCCTTTTTGGATAGTATACTCTAACTCCTGACCAAAAAACCATAACAGACCTAAAAAGGAACTCCCTAAACCTAAACCCTAAAGCCTAAATCCCTAAACCTAAACCCTAAACCCTACCTCAGTGGCCAGGAGCGAAGATGTGCTGGCCTGGAGCCTCCACAGCTCCACCTTCCGACAGCTTGGCACTACCAGGGTTTCAGGTTTAGGGTTTAGGGGTTTAGGGGTTTGGGGGTTTAGGGTTTAGAGTTTAGGGTTTAGGGTTTAGCTAGGGTTTGGTTGGGATACATGTGTTGCGCTGCGATTTGCGGGTTTAGCATTGTTGTTTTGCCTGTAGCCCCAAACCTACTCAACAGTAGGTTTTGGCCCTTGGTTATTGGGCATAACCCTCAGAAAAAAACTGTGTTGGGATCCCCAGGTAGGGTTTCAGAACGGTTTAGGGTTTGGGGTTTGGGTGTTCAGGAGTTGTTGGGAGCTCAGATTACCCGGACAGAACATGGAGCCCACTTCCCAGACACCGGGAAGTTCGTAATGTAGGGCCCAAATTTTGGGGGGTTCCTAATTCTAATTGTAGTATAATGGGCCCAAAACCCTGCTAAATAATTATTAAGGTCTATATTAGGTCACGATTCTTTCCTTAAGTACCTGATGGAGTTAGGATTAAGGGGGTCCTTGTTGGGGATATAGACCCACTCAACAAGCTCCCTTGTAAAAGAGCGAGAAGTAGGGTTGAGAAGGGGCCCCTTCAAGTGGTCTCCCGCATAGTACCTAGGAACCTCAAATGTGTTACAAATCATCACTTTTGGGGCTACCCTGGACCCTATCTTCTGGTTCCAGGCAAGGGTGCTCCAATTCCGGGTCTACTTACACACCAAGCCAAACACCCTGACCCTGAAACCCTAAGCCAAACCCCGAAGCCCTCAACCCTAACCCCAGAATGAGGTAACCCGAACCTGAGAAGATATCGGGAGGGCTTCTTTGACAAAATTAACAGACGGGTCCGTTGGGCTCGCATTTATTGTCTGACACTCCCATACATCAGATGGACAGTAAAAGGGTTCTTTTCTAGTGTAAGCCTAGTGCCTTAGTGGCATGGGCATTGGAGGCCCTGGCGCACTTTACCACCATCCAGATTCCTTCTTTGAAGTCTTCCTGTAGCCCGAAAACAATACAGAAGGACATTGACACTCGCTCGCAAATGCTTTGGGCGTCCAAATCACAACTCTACAGCACCGAAAGACTAACTCCTGAACACTAAATCCCTGAAGCTTGTTTCCCCGACAAGCCAGGGAGATAAAAGGTTAGACTTTCAGGTTATTACTAAAATATAAGAACCCAAAAAGGTTTAAAGGTTGGGTATTGAACTAAGGAAGCTCAAACCCTAATCCCTAAATCCTAAACTCCCACACCCAGAGGCCCGGTGCACCCTAAACCCTAAGCCCTAAACAGAAGACGGGGTTGCCATGTGTGGCTGCTGAGAACTACAGGTTTGGCTTTTGGATTTGGGTTCAGGGCTTTAGGGTTTGAGGGTTTAGGATGGTTTAGAGGTTTCGGGTTTAGGGTTTAGGGGTTTAGGGGAGCAGGGGTTTCGGGTTTAAGGGGCTTAGAATTTCTGACTCCTTTGCTATAATGTGTCTCAACTGTAGTGGTTGGAGACTCGGACTTGTCGTGGTTGTCGTGTGACAGTCACCATACCTTAAACGGCGTCACCACGAATGGAGGATCTTCTGCGACACATGTGGCTTTGGACTTAGACCTTGGGATTAGTACGGATTATTGTTTCAGGGCTCATTTTCATGTTAAAGGGTGTGCGGTTCTGGTGTTTCGATTTGCAGGTGTGTTGAGGGTACCGTTTTTCTGCGGCTGTGCTCCAATCTGCGAACTTGCTTCGCCTAGGTCGGGACTTTGCAGACGCTGCACCCGAGCCGAAACCGGGCTGTTGCCGGCCGGTGGTGTAGTTGACGGTGCGATTCTCTTGCGTAGCCTGAGTTCAGGAATCTCATGGTTCACGGTATAAGTTTTAAGGGTTAAGGGTTTAGGGGTTTAGAGTCGGGGTATTTGCAAGGACAGTCGGACAGTCGTTACCACATGTCTGAAACCATGAACGTAGTCAAGTGGCCTTATTTCGTCAACATCCGTCAGCCCTGGCTACAGACTGTGAGCCACAAGCTGACCACAGTCCTCAAGCCCCTAACCCAACATGCTCCGCCAATGCACATACCCAAGGGCTCCTATGTATATAGTTCCTTTTTGGATAGTATACGATAATTCCTTTCAAAAAATATAGCAGACCCACAAAAGGAACTACATTGGAGCCCCTGGGTAATTGACCCTTACCCCTCCCTAAAGCCTAAACCCTACTACCAACTTCAAGACACCGAACCGCCCTCGACACTCCCTCAAGCTCGGAAGCAGTGCTCAACCTTTGTTGCAATTTATTGGAGTAGCCTTATGCCCTATACCCTAAGCCCCTAAGCTCTAAACCCTAAACCCTGAACCCTAAACCCTGAACCCTAAACCCTAAACCCTAAACCCTAAACCCTAAACCCTAAACCCTACAAGTCTCCGACCCCCAAAACCTGAAAGCTCCGAAGCCTCAGCACCAATTCCTAACCCCGAACCTGCTGAATAGAAAGAAAGAACTCCCATCCCCATTCGCTCCATCTACCCTCTCTCCAGGTTTAGGGTTTAGGGGTTTTAGGGTTAGTCTCTAAATACCTACAATAAGGGCGGGTTAGTCTCTAAATACCTACAATAAGGGCTACTTGAAGGTGCCAAAAAGGGTCCTGCTCTATCTCCGAGCTCTACCAAAGGGCCTTAATGATCAGAATAGGGTTCCACTCTGTGCTGTCATGAGGGTTCCTTATGGTGACCTTTGGGGTTGCTTTGAAGAACCCTTGAAGGGTTCCTTGAACGAGCCCTTGCGGGGGGTTCCATAAGGGTCCTTTGTAGGTCCCTACCATAGTCTCGGCCCGGAGAGCATTTGGCGCTGGCCGCGATGTCGTCGTACGGGCTGGCACGGAGAGGGCGCCGAAGTCGTAGACTCGGCGCATCGTCTCCTTTTGGCACGGCTAGGGTCATTTATTCAGGGTTTAGGAGTTCAATATTCGCTTCGACGTTGGGGATTCAAAGTGCTTGTTGAAGGCTGGTGATCGGTTCTTCGGGCTTACAGTACGGGGCTCAGCAACTCAGCTTTTGAGGCCTCAGGCCGGGGATTCTTGAAGATGTGGAGTTTCGAACTTGGGTTTAGGGTTTCGGGTTTAGGGGCTTCTTGTCTCAAGCCGATTCTCGGTTTCGGCCTAAACTCCGCACAGACCGCACAGAAGGAATCGACAGCAGCAAATGATGCCGCCAAGCCCACCAGACCAGACACACTAGGGTTTAGGGTTTAGCCACGGCACGCTGTGATGAACTTACTGCCTTGTTCGATGGCGCTGCTCTGCCTATATGCACATTTTGACAGCATCTTGGGCCCGGACAGCTGGCCGACAGATCTTCGTGTGAGATGGAATCTCTGACTTGACGCTAGTAATGTAGGGTCCTTAAAGAATAGGGTTGTGGGGGATATTTTTCCATGATTATAATAAGGAAATATAAGGATCCCGCAAAAAGTATTGGTAATTATGTACGCGCCTACATCAGGCTAAAAAGACACAGACAGCTCCCCAAAGCCAAACTCCCCAACATGAATCCGGAAACCTACAGACCCGAGCCCTCAAAATCCAGGAACCTTAACAAATCCCGAAACCCCGCCCGTAATTACAGAACACTTGAGGAACTCTTAAAGGAACTCTTAAAGGAACCCTCGAACGGATCTCCAAACCCCCACAAACTGAACCTCCCTCACAAATGTCCCGTTTAAGAACCAGATCTAGGGTTCAAAAGGGTCCCCGAAATCTCCCTAATAAGGCCCTAATACGACCTAGCCCCTAAACCCTAAACCCTCAACCCTAAACCCTAAATCCTAAACCCTAGCCCTAAACCCTAAACCCTAAACCCTAGCCCTCAACCCTCAACCCTAAACCCTAAACCCCAAAAAAACCCTTCGGAAATGCCGACTTCGTCGCCGTGCCGATCATCTCCCAGGCTTCTTGGACGGCGCGGAAGCGCTCCGCGTCGCCGCCAGCCTCGGGTTTCCCCAAGGGTCCGTGTGCCCAAATAGTATATACTTTTGGTTTAGGGTTTAGGGTTTAGGGTTTAGGGTTTAGGGTTTAGGTTTAGGGTTTGGGGTTTAGGGTTTAGGGTTTGGGGCCTTAATGTAGTCCCTTGGGTAATTACTTCGGGGCCACTGTTCTACTATTTAGGTACATGGACCCTTAGGGTTTGGGGTTTCACGACCTGAACCCTGGCCTGGGTTGGCCTGGACCCCAAAAGGTTTTGGGTTTAAGTTTTAGGGTTTAGGGTTTAGGGTTATGTAGAACAATAGCCTTTCATGGGTCTTGGGCCATTGTTTTACCTACTTTTGGGGATTCACAAGGGCCTACACGTTCATGAGGGTTTGGGGCTGTACGGGTTTTTAAGTTCCTTGGGGTATATATTGTTGTAATCACAAGGCTTTAGGCTTTGCAAGGTAGGAACTTAGCATTGGCAAGGGTTTTAGGGCTTACAGAGCAGTGCATACTACCCATAGTCTCCATTGTAGTTCCTTTTTGGGGATACCTTTTAAAATCATTCATATATACTTGGCTAAACCCAAAAACAGGAACTACAATGGAGACTGCAGGTAGTTACAGGCGCTCGGTTGCGGGTTGGAGGAACTCGGTTTTGTGTTTTGCGGATTTCGGTGTTTTGGGCTTCAGGGTTCGAGGTGCTGGGGCTGGGGGCCGGTTTAGGGTTTAGGGTTTCGGTTTAGGGTTTAGGGTTTAGGGTCGAATGGGCCCTGCGGTTCGAGTTCACATGTGAGGATTTTCTTCAGGAGCGCTGAGTCTGAAGTTAAACTTGCTAAGTTCAATTAAGGCCGGCCCGAACATCTGAAGAACCTGAGACCTAACATGGGCCTCCCAAGAAAATAAGAACCCAATGGAAGCCCTCGCCCTTGCTTTACGGACCCTGCGTACAGCACTGTAACTTTAAGAAACCAACCCATAGAAACGCATGAACTTCCGATACAGTCCTGTACAGGGCCCTATAAATAAATCCTAAACCCTAAACCCTAAACCCTGAACCCTGAACCCTAAACCCTAAACCCTAAACCCCGAACCCTAAACCCTAAACCTGAACCAGAGACCCTATAAGCCCTAAGCCTCAAATAGCCCTAGACCGCGGGCCTTGTCTGGATGGAAAAGCAGCAATGCCTGCCAGCTTGACAAGTAAAACAACGAACCGTGCCGCTCAAAAGTCAGACCTGTAAGCCCCTACCCAAGGGCTCCTATGTAGTTCCTTTGGGATAGTATACTATAACTCCTGACCAAAAAACCCATAACAGACCCTAAACCCTGGGTATAAGGTAGGATTTAGGGTTTAGGTTTTAGGAAGGTCCGGTCTTTAGGGTTCATTCAGGCCGTCGAGTTTAAGTTGTTCTCGTAAAGTTCTTATACTGAACGAACTAACCCACCTAACCCCGAAAACTTAAACAAAACACCTCCGCGCCCTAAACCCTACCTGGACCCCAAAACTATGTAGAATAATAGCCTTTGATGGGTCTTGGGCCATAAGTCTACCTGCTTTTGGTGGGTTGATATAATCTCCATTGTATTTCCTTTTTGTTGTTTAACCCATGAATCCTGCATACATAACTGATTAATCCCCAAAAGGAGCTGCAATGGAGACTGTCTACAGTGGGGATCTCAGTTTAGGGTTTCGGGCTTGCTATTCAAGATCGATAAAGAGGCCGGTGAAGATTCGGAAGCACCTCGTCTATTGCCACGCACACCCCAAGCCGAGTTGTAATGTCGGACCTACCTGCTGAGACTGCACTTAAAGCTTCAATATCAATAACTTTTCGATACACCCTGAGCAACAATCTATGATACTGGAAGAACCCATTGGCCCGTAGGGCCCTTTAAAGCTCGAGGAATTCAGTTCCCCCTCGCAGTTAACGCAACAGCAAAATATCCCACAGCAGATAGTACAAACAGACTCAAAATGTCGAAAACTAAAAGGTATAACGACAATACTATGTTCGTAGTGAGAACAGGCTTATCTCCTCAATAAGCCAGGCAAATAACAGGTAAGACTTTCAGTCTACTACCAGAATATAAGCGCCCAAAAAGTTTAAAGGTTGGGTATTGGAGAACTAAGCTAAACCCGAAACCCGAAACCCTAAACCCTAAACCCTAAACCCTGTGCTGAAAACCAGGGCCGCCTTGCGGTAGGCAGCTTTGACCTCCCCGCTGGAGGCATCCGCCGGGATACCCAGTGCTCGATAGTGGTTCCTCCTTTTCTCGTTTAGGGTTTAGGGTTGGTTTAGGGTTTAGGGTTTGGGGCTTATAGGCCTTAGGGTTTAGGGCTTGGGGTTTGGGGCTTAGGGTTTAGGGCTTAGGGTTTAGGGCTTAGGGGCCCTCTCCCGGTCATTCTACACTGTAAGAGTTCAGGGTTTAGGGGCTTGGGGTTGTTAGGGGCCCGGTATTTCCAGGCGTTGTCGAAGTGTGGCAGTCCGTTTCAGGGCCCTATGTACGAGGTTGATTCTCGTCACATTTGATTTGGGGTTTAGGGTTTAGGCTTAAAAGGTTAAGGGTTTAGGGTTTGTTTGCGGTTCGGACCAGTGGATTTGCGGTGTTTAGGGGCGTAGGTTTTGCGACGAGCTTTGCAAGGCTTCAGTTTTGATTTACTTGGCCCATCTGCAGAGATTGCGCTATAGCCTGAGTCTGGAAGGCTTAGCTTCGGGTTCAGAGGTGGGTTCCATCAGTTTATTTTTCGGCCAGGGTCACTAAAACAAGCTTCACGCTCAACAATGTGCAGATTCGAAGCCTAGGCTCGGAGCATTGCAGTTGAGGCACTGCTGTACACTCCTAACAGTCGCCCCTTTTCGACTCCTCAACACTTCCTCGTCCATGCCACCCCTTGAGGGCCCCGCCTAGGGGATAAGTGGGTTCTTGTTAATAGGTCTTGTATATTTATACCTACTATGGCTTGACGGTTTTACAAGGGTTGCTCGTTCAGGGTTGAGGAACCTGACTTAAACTATCACAGCAGGGTCACACAGTAAATGGTATGCCTTCTGTGTTGTGCTCATCTTAAGAGGAGCCCAGAGAAATCTAAAATCTAAAACACCAAACCCGTGTCCTTGCGGGCTGGACGGCCCAATGGCGTGCCATGCGGAACCAACGGGCGAAATCCTCTCACGGGATGTACCCTCCCCACCCCAGGTAAACCCTGACCTATTTTACGAATCTTTATTCACACGAACAGGATTTGGGTGTATATTGTGGTAAGTCCTTATAAGGAAAATGAATTTCATGTCGAACATACTGATGGCGCTGGGTAAATTGGCATGGCTAAGCCCTAAACCCTACAAGCCCCATAAGCGCCAAGCTCTATAATCTTAGAACCTAAAACCCTAAAGCCTAAAACGCCGGGTTTGGGGTCCAGGGCTTTGGGTTTAGGGGTTGGGGTTTGGGGGTCTAGGGATTGAGGTGAGGGCTTGGGGTCTGGGGATTGAGAGTTGAAGGCTTTTCGGGGTTTAGTTTGGGGGTTTAGGGTTTAGGGTTTAGGGTTTAGGGTTTTAGGGTTTAGGGATTCAGGGGATAGACTTAGGGTTTGACGTTCATTGGTCTATAGTCTATGCTATAGGGCTCACGGGAGTCGATGGATGTAAGGTGCAAATAGGGCGTGGGGTTGAGGTCTACACCGGCACTACAAAACACAACGAACAAGCTTGCACTACCTACTTTTTGGCACATTTTTGCGGCATCGACGCTGCGACGCTCAGGATTATAAGATGCTGAACTTGCAGCAGCGGCAGCAAGGGAGCACAAAGCCCAACACTTCAAGTCGATAGCATTTGAGGGGGTATCGTATGCTAAGAATACTCAGGGACTGTATACCACGACTATATAGAGCCTAACAGCAACGGGATATTCCTACTAATTGTTCAAGCGTGTATATTATTCTACCAGCGCATACCAGCGCCAACTGCCTGAAACCCTAAACCCGAAGCTAGGCCTACAAACCCTGAGCCCTTGACAGCATCTAGACCACAAGTGATGTTAACTTCTGATTCACAATTACTCTCGCACGCGGTCCTAATATTCGTGCCACTAAAGAAGAAGGGTTTAGGCGTCACTGGTCGACATAATACAGGGGCCCCAATCATTAGAATAGTGCCTTGGGGACTATCATACTATAATTCTGATAACCAACCCCTCAACCCTAAACCCTCGCGACTCAAAGCCCCAAAATAGTACTGGCAACTCTCTAGGCCCGTACCTATAGTCTCCATTGTAGTTCCTTTCTCTGGCCTAACCAGCCAGATAACTTGTTCTAGACTCCTATAAAGTAACGCCGAAAGGGCACTACAATGGAGATTATAGGTCATAAACCCTAAACCCCTAAAACCCTAAACCCTAAACCAAGGAGCTGCATCAGAGGAACTATCAGGGCCCTCCGGTGGAAGTCTTTCTCCGATATGCTTGTAGGCATCCTAACAGGCAAGGTAAATTAACAAAACAACACCTAATCCCACAACCTTAAACACCAAACCCTAAATCCCTGATCCCTGCACCCTCAACCCGTCTAAAGCCTAAACCCCTCGAAAAGAATTCTCTGGGTTTCCAGGGCATCGTCTTCGTCCTCTCCGAGGGGCTCACCGCTGCTCTCGGCGAGGAGGCGGATCTCTTTCAGGTCTTCGAGCGCTTGTTGGTCCTGGCATGTTCGCACATTACCCAGGCACTCCAACGTAGTTCCTTTTTGGGTCTGTTATGGTTTTTTGGTAAGGAATTATAGTAAATATTTACTTAACCCTAACCCCCCAAGTACCTGCTATATAGAGTACTAGAGCCCCTAGGGCCCTACATAGTAGGTACCTGCGAGGTTAGGGCAACAAAGTTGAAGTTGGTCTCACTTTCGATATCGTAGTTTCTGTTCTTTGTGGCATAATCTAGAACGCATGCTCCTACGGCCCAAGGAGGGGGGGTCAAGAGAGGGGGCCTTCATTTTTTAAGTGGGTGCTGTACGTAACCCGAAGCGCGCAACCCCTTACACGCCTGAACCCTAAACACCAAACCCTGAGCCCCTAAACCCCTAAACCCTTACTAAACCCAACGTCCCTAAACCCCTAAACCCTAAACCCCGCGGGCTTTAACTTCAAGAGGCACTGTAACCCGAAACCCAAAACCCCCTCTAAACCCCTAAACCTTAAAATCTTTAAACCCTATCACCCCCTAAACCATAAACCCGTAAACCCCGTGGGACTTTTTGAAGAGGTACTGTAACCCTAAACCCCTAAACCTCTAAAACCCTAAACCCCTAAACCCCCAAACCCTAGAGCCCCCTAAATCCCTAAACCCCTACACCCCCTAAAGCCCCCTAAATCCCTAAAACCTAAAGCCCCCTAAATCCCTAACCCCCCAAACCCTAAACCGTAAATCACTAAACCCCTAAACCCTAAACCCCCTAAACCCTAAATTTTGTAAACCCCGGAGTTCCGCTTCCATGAACTGAGGCCTTGGCTTGCCTAGACCCGCGGGTTTCGAGTTTCGGGTTTAGGGTCTTAGGGCTTAGGGTTTAGGGTTTAGGATTTAGGTTGAGGGTGTAAGGTGTGGGGCTTAGGGCTTAGGGCTTAGGATTTAGGGCTTAGGGTTTAGGGTTTAGGTCTTAGGGTTAAGGGTCTAGGGTTTAGAAGACCACCCCAAGCCCAAAATCCTCAACTCACGAAATTCTGAACTGGAAGCATGCTACTCCCCCGATGAATAGCGCATCCAGGAAGCCTGCATGCCAGTATATCAACCCCCTAAACCCTGAACCCTAAACCCTAGACCCTAAACCCTAAACCCCAAACCCGATAAACCCTAAACCCTAAACCCAACACTGTAGACCATTTGAAGCGCTCCTGGCCGCCTGACTCCAAACGTGCCTCGGCATAGTGGGTTTCGCAATTGTTAGGGTTTAGGGTTTAGGGTTTAGGGTTTAGGGCGCAGAGTCCTCATGCAGTAACCCTAAAACCCTAAACTCTAAACCCAGAACCCTCAACCCTAAATACAAGCACTGATGGACCCTACAAAATGTGCGTTGTTTACTTTACAGTCTCTGCCGGTACGGCTTTATCCAGGTTTTGTGGTCCTCTGTTCGATTATATGTTGGGATCTGCCCCCGTCAGTAACAGTAACAGTCGAAAACTGGTTCGTTGATATTTACCCCAGCAACGAAGGCACAAATACTTGGGGGACTTCCGATGTTTCCAAGCGGCCTATAACTTACTTGGGGCTCCAAAATGGGTCTACATCAGGGTCCCTTTTAACTGTAGATCTGAAACGAGGCTCTATCTGTACACTTAGAGCCCTGGGGTGAATATAAGGGCCGTAACACTTACCAATACTATTTTGCGTGTTCCTTATTAGAGTTATACTCTAATACACCCCCCAAACCCTGCTCTAATTCTTAAGGCCCCAAATGCAGAACCATTAACCCTGAACCCTAAACCCTAAACCCTAAACCCTTATAGACCCTTTAAGGATCCCCTGTAAGGGAACCCTCGTCTCATTATTAGGGTCCCTACACTATCTATAGTCTCCATTGTAGTTCCTTCTGTTGGCTTAACCAATTATATAGTAAGGATTTCATAAGGTATCCCCAAAAAGGAACTACAATGGAGACTATAGGTATCTTGGGTGTTATGGGAGATCTAAGGTGATACAGACCGAATTTCGAGTCCGGGGGATCCCAGGGTTCGTTGTGGAGGGGCCGACAGTCGGCTTCCGTATAGCGATCATGGGTTTCGGGCTTCGGGTTTGGGATTTATAGGGTTTAGGGCTGATAGGGCTTTTAGGGCTTATAGGGCTTAGGGCTTATAGGGCTTAGAGTTTATGGGGCTTAGGGCTTGTAGGGTTTAGGGTTTAGGGGATCATGTTGCGAAGGGTGGTTAGGTTTGCTTATTTGGACGGTAGCTCCTCGGGTGATAGCTGATGTGCTACCTGCACAGGCCATATCGGCAACTCCTACTTTGGAGCTTGACTTCTTCCTATCAGGTGGGTACTTAGGATGAGGCCACACTGGAAATCCAGGCAGAGTTCAGGTTGTGAACACAACGGCCTGTTGCTGTAAGAGCCGGGGGCTTCCGACGACAAGAGGGGACCCTATGCAATGTAGACTCTTAAGCTGAGCTTGAATCTAAAACCTCCTGAGTTCAGCATCCCAAACGCTTGGCAACCCAGAAGTAGGAGCAACCGTAAGTAAACTTACTCTGAACTGCCCTGAACCCTGGTTCCTGATGCCCCAAACCATGTACGGATTGATGCTGGCTTGGGTGCCACGGCCAGGCGCAGCCGTGCTTCAGCAGTTGGTGTCAAGGCTGCCAATAATGCAGCAGCATCCAAGGCCTAGGAATGTAGGAGTTCCAAGTAAACCAAGACTTCAGTTTGGGGTCTGCAGCTTTTGCCTTCATGAAGGCTATTTGATACAAAGGTCCCATGCGCAGCTTCAGATCAGTAGGCTGCTACTCGGTTTAAGATGTCAAGTTTAGTGTTTAAATTTATGGTGTAGACTCCGACTTGAGTTTAGGGTTTAAGTCGGGTGGGGCCTCTTTGCGGGGCGTTTGAGGTTAAGGGGGTTTGGGGTTTCGGCCTTGACAGTTTTGGGTTTAGGGTGCTCCCCAGCATACCAATCCTAAGCCCAGCGAGGCGTGAAAGCTCAGCATCCCCCAACACCCGTAAGCCCTAAATCCTAAAACCCTGAACCCCGAAACCCTTAAACCCTACACCCTAAACCCCTCATCTCCTATAAATCTATAAACCCTGAACCCCTTAAGGCCCCTACAACCCCTAAAAGCCCTAAACCCCTGAAGGCCCTAAACCCCCTAAAGGCCCTAAACCCCCAAAGCCCTAAACCCCTAAAAGCCCTAAACCCCTACCCCTGAAGGCCCTAAACCCCTAAAGGCCCTAAACTCCTAAACCCCCAAACCGTAAACCCCTAAACCCCTAAACCCCTAAACTCCTAAACCCTGAACTCCTAAACCCCTAAACTCCTAACAGCCCTAAAAGCCCTAATCCCCGCCTCGTCAAAGTCGCCGGCGCTCCGCGCAGCGTCGCGGCGGAGGCGCAGCTCCTCGGTCTGATACGAGGCACGAAGAGACCCTAAACCCTAAACCCTAAACCCTAAACCCTAAACCCTAAACCCTAAACCCTAAACCCGGAAGTGACCCTATGACTAGTAGTCGGTCCTCGGTCTGATGGCTCAGCGGCCGCTCCTGCGAAGACGAGACGAGGGTTTTAGGGCTTTAGGGCTTTAGGGCTTCAGGGCTTTAGGGGTTTTGGGTTTAGGGTTTGGGGTTTTAGGATTTAGGGTTTTTGAGGCTTTAGGGTTTTAGGGTTTAGGGTTTAGGGTTTAGGGCTTTAGGGCTTTAGGGATTAAGGTTTCGGGGTTTAGGGGTTTAGGGTTTAGGCGTTTAGGGTTTAGGGGTCTAGGGCTTAGGGCTGCGAAGACGAGACTGAAGCAACTTGCTGGTTTTAGGGGTTAGGAGTTAGGTTTCCTTTTTTGTTTTTGGGTGTAGGGTTTTTAGAGTTTAGGGTTAATGGTTTAGAGTTTAGGTTTCTTTTTGTATTTGTGTTTAAGGTGTTAAGAACCCTAGATCCAAAACCCTGGGCACCGCTTCAAGCCCAACTGACCCCACTCGCGTTCTACTGGATTTAGGGTTTGGGGCTTAAGAGCTGTAGAGTCTATAATTTATCTATGATATAGGCGCCCTAATGATCAGAACAAGGTTTTGGGGGTGCCTGATTAGAATTATAGTATCCTATACCTCAAACCCTATGCTGACTATTAAGGCCTCTATATTAGGTGTTCTCATGCAGGGGGCTTAAGGGTTGCAGATTCTGTTGCATCCCTTGCTTGGGCTGCCCTGGAACCAACCCCGCTCCCATTTCCAGATCGAGGGACCGCAATAAGTTCTTTCTCCGGTCCTATTTTATTTTGCTGTCCTAAACCCTAAACCCTATATGTCGTCTGGCAAGGAACCCTCAGAAATCGTCTTACCCGATATGTAGGCTCCTATGTTAGGCGGGCCGCAAAATCCCCTAGGGCTCCAGGGTTACAAATAGTACTTGGTTGAATCAAGTATATATTAAGGATTTTATAAATTATTCCCAAAAAAGGAACTACAATGGATACTATAGGTAAACCTCTCTCTTTCTCTCCCTCTCACGCTCTCTCTGTCGCTCTCTCTGTCTCTCTGTCTCTCTTCTTAGGGTTGAGAAATTAGAATTGAGGGAATCAAGGGCAATGCTTTCGCTTCTGGCAGTTGTGCCCCAACGGCGACCCCAAACCCTGAACCCTTACAGAGCCCTCCGGAGCGTTCTGTATATTAAACCACAAGGTAACTCAAAGGTAAACCTTAGCTTTAACTGTAGAACCTGTTGTCTCCTCGAGCCGCTTCGCACTTCCAGAACTCCTTCTCCTCCCAAACCGCCATGGGGATCGAGTTAGCGACTGTAATCATCAATGAGCAGGCCCTGCCCTGCCCAAGAGCTTCATCCAAGCCACACTCGAGCTCTCGCAAGTAAGGCCTGACCTGCCATGTCCTGGCAAATGCGAGTACCCATTTCCGGAAGTGCTCTCCCACACTCTCCTCGGGGTCCAGCCCATTTAAGCGGTACCGTTCGGTCTCCAAGTAGTCCAGCTGGAACTCATCCAGGAAGTCGACGGCATAGTCCTCCATCACGGTCTCCAGCCACAGTCTGAGCGTCACCAGCGGGATGCACCGCTGATATAGTAACTTTTGCTTCTAAACCATCATAGCAACGCCCCTAAGCCCCTGATTCGTCGAATCTGAGCAGTCTGTGGAGGTCGAACTGGAGCGTCCGATGCCGAACGAGTCTTGTCGACGTTGTTGGCGTACTACGAGGGTCTAAGTACGAAAAAAGGTGCTGGGCTATGGTATACATTAGGCTCCTGGAGTATAGGTCTTGATTATTCCATCCTTGACGTGGACTGTGCATAGCCTACCCCGTTTCTCAGGATTCCAAACAGTATGGTGACTGCCTTCTACAGATATGGAAAAATTCGGTAGCCTCCATCCGCTGCAGATTGTGATTCTCTACCCAAGAGCTCCTATGTCGTTCCTTTTCGGATAGTATACTATAATTCCTTACCAAAAAAACCATAACAGACCCAAAACAGAACTACACTGGAGCCCCTGCGTAATGACCTACAATTATCGATCCTATTTCGGGGGTTCCCTACTACAGCTATAGTATCATGGGCCCCAAAGCCTATTCTAATTGCTAAGGCCC